GCATGCTTCTACCGGTACAAGCACCGTTTTCTAACTCCATGCATGCTTCTACCGGTACAAGCACCGTTTTCTAACTCCATGCATGCTTCTACCGGTACAAGCACCGTTTTCTAACTCCATGCATGTACCCAGATGCTGAACGAACTAATAACTGACTATAAAGCAGATATGTTCATCTACCTGTATACGCCGCAAGAAATGAGACCGAGGGGTACCCCCCAATATGTCCAATCCCTATACACATTCTAGACTAATGTTACTTAACACATCCCCCCAAGATGTCTGAAAGGAATTCCCTAGATTCCTGCGAGACAATGACCAACACAAAGCAGGGGGGTTCTCTCCGTCTCATACCTTGCTGCATATCCATCTACCTGTACACATACATGTATACATGCTTAATTATGCACAACAAATGACAATACACTTCATACATGTACATTAATGTTACAGTGTATTTGTCAACATTCAGGGTCCTATACATCTCTGTTGTAGAAACTGTATAGCGTACAGTAACTATTGATTATCTCTTTGCTGTTAACTGGGCAAGAACTTTTCCAGTTTGACATGATGATTACATGTACATATACCCAGTACATGTATGTGTACAATGTACACGTACATGCATGTACATGTACATGTACCAGCGCAGGAAACTGATGAGGTACACACTGCAAGCAGAGACAAATGATAGCATGCGATTCATCCAAATTGGCATTCTGACTAGCCAACCTTTCATGCAACAAAAATCTCGGCCATGTCAAAGCCAATTACATGTACTCTTGTTTATTTAACTTTGCTTGCCGGATGATGACAAATGATCATTTATCAAATTTATGAGTCTGTGTGGGCAGGATCAAGCGGCATGTAATAAAAGCAGGGCACTACACTACATTTACATGCAAAGAGTATTCAAAGTACTGGTACATGAACATGTACATGTAGGAAACATGAACGATCATGCTGAGAGATTTCTGATAGAGAGGATTAACAAGAATCATCTACAAATGAGCATCACTGAAATTATTAGTGGATATCAAGACTATGTATGGTAAAGAAGCACTGTGCGTACACAGAGTACATGTATACCTAGAATGGAAAGGAGGAAATGGATTTTACATTTGCTTTTGATGTCATCACTTTGTTTATTACTCGATGTTACATGTGGGTTCGTGTGGACATGGTGGAAGGAAACACAACATTTACACTGATGTCTTTAACACGGTCAATTACATCAAGACTCAAATATCAGATGTTCCAGTCAGCAATAAAGAATGGAAAACAGAAACATTCAGTGTTTGTTTTGCAGGACCGTACCAGTACATGGACATATAAAGTACGGTATGTGCAGGCATTGATGGGGCAGATCACACTGTCCATGGAGGAATAAAACCTTGGTGGGCAGGCGCTCACCGTGTTCAGGGGACAAGCTCTTTTGTTAGGGAAATTTCAACCAATTTATGAGAACATTTCTGAGTCCCTGCAATGTTTTCGGTCCCCCAAAATACGTCAAATGTCAGGTGTATGTCCCCACAACTACTGTACGGTGAGGGAGTTAGCGTACTGTCCATCAATATATGTACTGGTACATGTACATGTATACAAAAACACATAAAAAACAGCTATGTACACATGTTGATACACACACAGTAAGCAAATCAGCTATGTACAATGTACATGTAACTACACTACACTACATGTAAGCAGTATCTATGCATTTACACATACATGTAGCTGTCTCCTACACTATGACATATGGTGCAAACAGAGGACAAACCTCTTTCATTCCATCCTCATTTTTAGTTTCGTCACTGATGCCTTTCGTCTCCTTTTCATTGCTACATGTACTCTCTGCACCATCCATCTCCTTCAAAATGTTCACAGTCGACGTGTAAAGAAATCCAAATAAAGTGCATGTACAAAAGACACTAATGACAGACTGGCACATTGGTCAGTTCGCGTGAGGGCACAGCAGAGTGCAGACGGAAGCTTGTCAAGGAGGGATACGGTTGAGGCATTATAATTCAGGGGAGGAATGCTGTGGAAATTTAACAATTCATGAGTTGGGGGGCAGTTCACATTAATGTACCGGTATGGACAATTGGACGTACCGATATGATGCAGTTTGATGCAGGTTCTTCATGTATACGTGTAGCTCTACATTAATATTGTACTAATATTAGTACATCTTTTATGCTTGCCTAATGAACATGATGAAAGTCGCTGAATTTCAAAAGTGGACCTGCATTGTAAGTTACAGGTAATGTGACCTGGGTCAGTTTTACTTTTGACATACCGTACTTAATTAATGTAAATACATGTACATAAATATGAAATGAATATGAATATATGAAATCTTACTGGTACATGTACATGTACATGAGGGTTAAATGGAACAGGTCCACCACACCAAGGATGCATACATGTAGTACAAAATATTATATAAAGGGTGAATTCACCTGTTTTGTACAGGTATCTCATTGGTACAGTACAAGAATGTACCAGTACAACACTGCACTGTACATGTACGTAAATGTACAGTGCACGTACAGTGTACGATGGTACATGTATGTACATGTACAGTGTATGTGCCAGTACCTACATGTACATGTACGCAAATCTACATATCTGTAACATGCTCTTTACAAAATTCAATGTGAACAAAAAAGCCAATTGCAGATCAGTCCTACCATGCCTACTGCACGTATAACCTCACTACATGCAGTGAACAAAACAAACTGATGTACCGAGGTACTCCAGGTACCCGCTACATGCAATTTCGGTTTCTTTTTAATGATGCAAAACCCTCAGAAACACAGAAAATGCAAACTTTTGCCAAAGATTCAAAACTGTACATTTATTAATTAAAACCTGCCAAAGATGATCTTCCAGAATACCAGTAGCTAAAGAGCTAAATTCAATCAATCAGGACATATTGAGACTGCTATCACATGTAGATGAGTGCAATAGCTCACGATCCTTTTTGCCTCATAGCTACATGTATGTCACTATACATACATGTATTATGTGTTCATGTCCAAGTGAGTGTCGACGGTAGCATCAAAAAAGTTTGTCTTCCTCGTTCCTGAAAACTTTAGAAAAAT